ACACGAAAAACGGCTAGACTGCGCACTCCGCCTGGTAATAAAGGGTGTAACGCGTCTAGCGATGTCTCGTCGACCGTACGATTACTCAGCGAACGTGAGATAAATTAGGTTTATTCAGGGATCTGTGAGAAATGTTGACGACCTCGGTGATGAAGATACGGGCGAGATATTAACTTCGTCTACCTACTGCGTTGTAAATCGAGTTGCTTTTCTTTGAAAAAAAATCGATATGAATGTTGATTGATTTCCGTCGATACTAGACAATCTGAGAATAGACATAGAATAAGGGTCTCCTGAGAGGAGACTCTCAGTCGCCGTTCGATTTAACAAAATTATAAAATGAAAAATTCAATATAAAATGTTGAATAAGCTATTGACACATGAAACATAAAAAGAATTCTGCCCCATAATTTATGCAAAATGTTCCTTTATGTAATTTGCGAATAATATTGTTAATATTTCGTCAGAAAATAATGAATGTGTAATGAAAAATATCGTCGAGTGCAGAGGGTTAAACCGAAATGACTTTGTAAATAGAGTATAGTAAGACAAGTATAGATTTGTACGCTATTATCTAAAAAATTCTGTAAGCTAATTGAAGGTTGCACAAAGAAGACTCTTTGAGGTTCGTAAAAGAGGATATCTATCCTTACATCGAGTCAATCGAATCCATAATTCGGAGCACAATCGGGAATAGTAGACCGGCAGAAATATAAACCCACAAAAAGGTGGCGAACAGATCTAATGTATACCCAACGAAGCCACTCGCCGCCAAGATGAATGTCGCGAGAGCTTTAAATCCTTGTCGTTACAGCTGCCCGACCACAAGTGCAGCGGGATGCACAAGCCCCGCAACCAGGAGAGCTGCAACACCATCTCCTGCCCCATGTGGGAGACCAATAAATGGAGCGAGGTGAGTACAAGGGAATCTCGGGGTGCCGGAACTACGACCCTTACGCGAGCCATGAACATGCAAAACGGGGACGAGGAGTTACCATGGTACAGATAGACGAGAGTCGTTCGCTTGATGCAGGAATTTAGGGCTTTACGAGACGCCACGGGGAAAGGAGTATTTATTGCCGTCTAGTGCGTCGGTGTCTCTGTCCGTCCCTCTCGTCTCCTCTCCGCGAGCGCGGAGGTTAAGGGTAGCTATATTTATTATCGTTTCGGATGAGTCCTCCACCTCGTAGTCGCTAAATCGTAGGAATCATGAACTCGTTTCTCACCGGAGTCTCTCGAGAGGATCGTCTTTGGTTACGGTTCGCCGGAGCGTCGAATGAATCCTTTTTTTCCTTTTCGTTTCGCGTTCCCCCGCCGCGAGGAACGTTTTCCGCGGCGTTGATCTTGCGCACGTCGAAGGTTGCACGTCGAGCCGGGAAATTGATCACTTCTACAGCCACGGGACCGCCTGGATCACGCGATTTCCGTGTTGGATAAACACGAGACGGTAATTCGTATCCGAGCGAAGTTAAGGGAGTTACACGGGAGTAACCGGGACTTTTTGTCTCTTAAAGGGGCGTTAACGTGTTCGGGGCGGATGAGCGTGTTACGTTTCTCTATCCAGTTATACGTGTCTATTCGTATCAGGAAATCCGATTTCCTACGGGAACAGTAAACAGTTCTGGGCTCCGATTGTTGCAAAGGGAAATGAAACTCGTTCCAGAATTTGCTTTGCGCCAGCTGGCTGTTTTGCTACCACGCTTTGCCGCGGTTAATGTCGACACGGCCACTTCGAGCGATCGTTCCACTTTGGTTCTTTGACCGCCGGTGAATTTTTGGACCCCGGAATTAGTCGAAGCGAAACCTATCGGCGGGGAGCAATGTAAAAATGCAGGGATGCGTTCGAGCGAGGAAACGGGGGCGAAGACGGTCGCGACATTTGCAAGTTTTGATGAATGAATTATAAAATAATCGAATATGCCGGGTGCCGGTTTCGTTTTCCTCGTGGAAGTTCGAGTGGAAACGCGAAGCTGGGATTCTCCGGTCCAACATTTTCTTCCTTCTTTCGCGAAACGTCTGATATCCGGCAAGAATGGAGATATTGGCGTTGAGGAAAATTTAAACTGACGTACCGGAAAGACCGACAACGAGTCGAACATCGGTACGCATACAGAACTCCGGGGCGAACTCGAAGAATCGAGTAATTCAACGAGCTTCCCCCGTGTCCCGTGAAAAGGGAGCGAGTTTCCAAGTCGAAGTATCTGCGCGAAAGGAACTTCTTCTTGCTGCTTTTAATACCAGCCAAGAAAGAAACTGGTACACAGCAGTCGTAGGAAAAGAAGAAAAGACAGTGTACCGTTCATAATCGATGAACCAAATCAGGCGAAACTCCATCTCCCTTATTATTATGGTTTCCTTTCATTCGGCAAGAAAATTTGAACAATCAACGAGGTAAATTCAAATTACTTTACATCATCGAACGATTGTTATAGAATCACTTTTAACCCTCAAATATTCAATTTAACTTTCAACTCCCTTTTAACGCTTACGTGGAGTGTTTCAAGCAATTGAAACCTAAGAATATTCAGTTCTCTCACTACACTAATCCATATTCACAAGATAAAGCCGCGAAACAAGAACTTATTACAAATAAAAACACAGGAGTTTCGTATTTCACATTTCATCGTCGCATCCCGGAAACATTCCCGAAAGATCAAGACTCGTGCTCAATTTCCAAGCAAATTTAATGAAAGCAATCGCGCATCTCTCGCGCCTTCCCAGCGGTAAGCGAGCTCTTAATTCGCTCAAACGTTCTCGCCCCTCTCTGACGGCATTAGCGCTTCCGGAAAGCGCCGCGTCGCCGGAAGCCAAGCGAGTCGAAACGGCTGCCACACCCGAGGGTCTCGACCTCCGGTAAAATTTGTCGAAATCGGATTTTCGGCGAAACCGGGGAACTCAACCGAGCGTGCGGCTGCTACTTTGGCGTGTGCGTGAATAACGAACGCGGAAAAGGCGTCGCAATGTGTCCCGGCGCGTAAAACCGCGCGAGAAACAGAATTTTCAGCGCGGGCACGGGGGATTCGCGTCTTTGCGAGCTTCCGGCGATAACGCGCGCCGCGGTTACACTTGTTTCATCCCCGGCCTCTTCGCGGAGCGCGAAATCTCTTCGCTCGTCCTTCTTCGCCGATCCACCCTCGTCGCTCCTCTTTGAGGACGTAACGGGCCGCATCAACCGCTGACATCAAACAGGACGATTTTCTCGTCAAACAACCCCCACCTTCGTCCGCGCTCATCGTCGCTTTACCACGGCCTCGTTCCGCCAGCAGGCGTCTCTTCTCGGATGCTTCCACCTTCCGCGAAAAAAAAAGCGGACACGCCTCCTCCTGGAAAGGAGGAGCTCGAAGGACGAAAAAATTTGTAGTCCTCGAGCGACGCTTCCGGGTTCAGCGGAAAAACACGAAGGAAGAGAGCGTGCATGACGCGAGGGACTGTCGGAGGGTCTTGAATTATTTAGGGCAATTTGCGAGTGAAAGAGGACACATTACTTCGTTTATGCTTCAGGATTACACTTCGCGGAACCGTGGACGAATTCGTTCTTTGTCCGCTCTTCGTTCGTGAATAGGGAATTGTTCCTCGTGTTCAGAGTGGTAAGGAAGCTTTGTCCGAGAGCGGGATGCAGAATGTTTTGTGTTACGTTGTGATTACGTTTCGGCCTGTATCATCCGTTTCTAAGAAATCCGCGAACTAAACTCGTGTGGAATAAGCGTGGAAATATGAAATACGAAGAATGTAGTTTACAAGAAAAACATCAAAGGGATTCAGCTTCAAAGTTTGAAATAGTCTGATGTAGAACGTGTTAACCTACCGTGCGAGACGTACACATTCGGCGAACGTACATTCGAGGAATCATATTTTATTAACCAACGACCGTCAACACCGGTACGTTCTTCGTGAAAAAAGTACAAGCCTGTGAAATTTTGAAACGGTCGCGGGAGTTGCTTCTTAAAACGACGTCAGGGTCGTAGTTTCTTTTGCGCAAATGTAACAATCGAGTCTCTCGCAAAAATTCATTTACCGTATTAAAAAGAATCCACAAAAATACCAAACAAGGACACCGAACATCTCGGAATCCGAGGCAAATTACTAATGCAATGCGTACACCAGCACGTCGTAGAACGCAGGACGGAGAGAAACCGCAGGATCTCCAGTCAAAAGAGGCAATTCCGAGGCGTTCGAGGAGTACGTTTCGCGCGAGTGTAAGACAAACGGTCGGTCCTAAAGGGGAAAAAATACAGCCGTGATAAGAGGGCGTGTGTTCCGGGGAAAGAAAGGGATGGAGGGGCGCGATGAGGAGAGGACGGCAGGAGAGTGCATTCTCGCGGAAAATGCCTCGCGTCGGCCGCTCGACGAGAGAATTCACCGTTGCCGATTGCATTCGCCCGCAGCCGGCGTGGCATTCAATGAGCCAGCTCGCTCCCGCTCGACTAGCGCGATCCGAAAGAGGAGTGCAAATCGATTCGGGACGGGGGCATCAAGAGGCTCGCCGCCAAGTGCGTCTCGCCGTCGCGGTCTAGTCGCGCCGCGTGTCCGCGTTTTCCGCGCGGTTCGTGCGCGGCGACAAATGCGATTCAGATACAGAGTGGAAACGGCCATTGTGCGCGGTACGGCGAGAGAGGGTGGCTCGAACGACTCCGCGGCGCCTGTGGGAGCCGCGGGGGCTCGTTTTGGCACCGATGCTCGATGACCGACTCTCCACGTCGTGCCATTTCTTGTACAACCCCTTCCTCCCCCGCAGCCTCGCCCTCGCACGACAACCGTGTCCCGAAAAGCAGCGCGATATCTGCTGGAACCGTTCCAGACATTTGGTCGCGGGGACGTCCGATTCCGTGCGTTTATGGAAATTTAAATCCACTCGAGACCCCCTCCCCCGGACGTTCCGCTTTTCGTTCTTTGACCGAATGGATAAATAGAATTTGCGGTGTACGGAGGTATGTCCTGGATTCTCCGATAGCTCTCGAGTTACTCGCGAGGTTACTTATGCAGTTTTTACTGTACGAACTGTTTGCGACTGTGTTAGATATTGATAGTTTCGTTCAGAAAATTTTCGAGGGGTTCGTTGATCCTTTTCAATTTTTCCTTTCGGAAAAGACGGATAGAGTATACACGTAAACAGCTAACCGAGACCGAACAACACAAAGTACATAAGATCTCTAAAAAATTCAAACCTCGCTTTACATCCCACCGCAAATTTCCCCAACCGTGTTCCCCGACCGGAAGTAAATGTAATTTGATGAACCCGCGGAAAGGAAGTCGCTGAATTTTCAGCCGCAGAGAGACCGTGTGCACCCCAAACGCGGAACAAATATCGAGCTACTTTATTTCCTCCGCGGAAGACATCCTCGGAGGTAAACGTCGTTATTAATGGTACACGCGTATACAGCGTCATCGCGACGTTTCGCGGGTGTCGGCGCGCAGCGTTCCGTAAAAAGTTTCGCTCGCTGTTTACGCGTGTTCCTGCAGCAGCGACGGCTTCAGGGGAGCGTGACGCGATTGGGCGCCGTACTGTTTCGACGAAGGAAATTAAAGTAACTCGCTCGCGGGTCCCGGCGACGACGTTCCGTTTATATTCAGACGGAAAGAGAGAGAGATGCTAAGAGCAGGAGAGACAGAGAGACGAACCGGGGAGAACGCGGAGGAAAGTTTCTGGAGGGAACAATAAAATTTTACGGCATCGTATCTCAACGCGCTCGAGGGCCGAGAGGAACGCGCGGCTCTACCGAACGCAACGAGCTGCGGAAAAGTGAGGTCCCGCGGCTCCGGGATGCTTCTTGCTGACGCGCCCTCGAAACGCTGCGAATAACGGGGCAATAAGAGGCGCAAACAGACGCAACAATAAGAGACAAGTTGTGTACCAGACGATCACACCCCGTTCCCACCTCGAGGGGGGGGAACTTCGGAACCGGTACGGCGCGCGGGAAAAGTCACCTCGAAAGGAGATTCCCTCGCCTCGCGGAATCGGCCTCTCGCCCGCCGGTTATGCGTTATTCATGAGACACCGGCGAAACGCGCGCCCGCACATCCCCGGATACCGTATTTATTACTGTTACTCCCCGACACGTGAAAAAGGCGAGGGCAATATTTCGATCGACACCGGACTCGTAATGCGTCCACGCGATCACGCGTCCGCCTCGCCTCGGAATATCGCCGTATCCCGCCGCGTATATCCTCGATCTCGCGGCCGGTAAAGATCCCACGTGGGAGAGAGGAAGAAAGAAACAAAGAAAGCGGAGGGGGGCCGAAGGAAACCGTAGGTCGCAAATTGAAAGTTAAATTTTGTTTGCTTTCCTCGCCCGCTGGGAGATTACCCACGCTAGAGCCACTCGCGACCCGTTTCCGCCGCGACCCGCTTGAAATTCAGTTAATTTAATCCCGGAGCTGAGAGTTGTTCGGATTTGCTTGAAAGAACTAGCCACGGTTATAGTCGATCGGTTGCTTGTTCGTTTTAATTGTGGGTCGCTTTTAGGAAGTCCGCCGCTGAATAAGAGGAAAAAAGTAATTGAACGAACGGAGTTTGCTTTGAAACTTCTTCCAAGGAGAATGAAATTCACGTGGAACGGGGAGAAATTCGGTCGAAGGTTTTTGCAGCGCGATAGAAGGTTCCGAGCGTTCTTCTGCTCGTCCTTATCGGGTCCAATGACAATGGCGGTAAACAGGGTGCTCTCGGGGGCGACGCGAAAAATATCCACGGTCACGTGTAAACGAAAGTATACACGCGGTGTGATTTACGGCTCATCTCATGCTTGATCGATACACAATGGCCGGCGCTCCGGCCCGACGAAGGGAACGACGCGGGGAGCTGCCGGGGGCGAGGAAATGGCGTCGGTATCCTTTTGCCAGCGATACATAAAGGCCAGAGCCTCTTATGCCCGTCAGCACGGTAATGATTTCATCCGTGGCTGTGCGCGAGGGGCGCGAGGGGTGCGAGCCGCCCCCGGAAGACAGGAATTGATAGATTTCTCTCTTTTGTGAGCTCGGGAGCCATGCAAATATTGAACTGAAAGCACAGGGCTCCTTAAAGCACTACCATGATATCGGACCTCCTCCTCGAGGAAGGGGCTGGATTCTTGAGGAAGGCGTTGCGTGGCGAGGAAGGGTCCGGGGAACATCAGGGAGGACGATCGGGTCGGAGGAAAGTTGGAAAACAAGGGGAAAAAGACGTATCGGTAGATGAAGCAAAAACAAAGTGAGGCTAAAAAGGGTTGTAGCGAGGGAAGCCGAGGAGAACTCTGTTTGGCTGAGGAAGCGTGCATTACGGTGTTCATGAATTTTCATTACTTTATCGTCGACCCGATAACGCAATGTTCCTGATAGCTTTAATACTTGATCGACTCGCCCAACAATCGTTCTAAATATTTCAAACCGAACTAGGAGCATCTTTCAGGATCCATAGGAAAAGAATCGAAGAACACAACGGCGGATTTGATTAAGAAAATACGATCAATGACGTGTGATTCGACTCGATCCACGGCGTTCGAGGTATTAAGAGGAAACAACAATTCACGAGGAAACAGTCGATATTTAATAAAAAAGAAGAAAAAAACAACAATCACTTCCGCGAAATCGTAATGAAACCGTTCCACAGTGTATCTCAAATTTATGGATCGTCCCGGAGTTTTGTGACCGGCCGTGCGCGGGTAGTAGACATAAAACGCCGAGAACGGAATGGGTTAAACAAGAAGAAGCTGAAAAGGTGAGGAGAAGCAAAAGGAGGAAAGTAAAAAAAAGAAGGAGGGAGAAAAAAGAGAGGAAGGTGATCGAGCTGAGAGGTGAAACGGGGACAGAAGCAAACACCGTTTGAGGGGGTTGGGGTTGTCGGAGCGGCGGAGGCGGCGGGAGAGAGCGAGAAAGAGGTTGGTGGGGCAGAGACGGCGAAAGAGAGGGCGGAGTGCCTAAGTCGAGCGGGTTTCCGCTTTTCCGTTCATGTCACCTTTCCACCTTCGACGTCTTGAACGATAGCTCCGGCATCCTGGGGCTTTTTGTTCATCGTTTTTCCCCGCTCGTGCTCGCCTCTAAACCGCTCAACCCGCTCCCCGGGTTCTCTTAGCTTTCCTCTCCGATCAAGCGGACTTTATTCTGACTGAGAGAAGTTTGAGGCCACGGGTATGCCTCGAACGAGACGCTTCGGTGTTCCAGCGCGCTGGAAATGGCGTGGCGCCTGCCACTTGAGATTCGGCTTCGATTCGCCGCGACGTAAAAGCGAATGCGACCCACCCGATCCGCGAATAGAAACAGGCCGTGCCGATACGGAGGACCGGCCGAAGTCGCGTCACGAGGATCTAATCAATTCCGTCGAACTGCAGGGAGAAGACTACACGAGCGTTTTACACGCGGCGTTCCACGAACGAGAACTTAGTTGCATTAACGCTTTGAGCGCTGTGAACATTTACTGGGGTAAATATATAAGTAGAATATACGCCTTTCTTAGCATTATTCGATTTAGTAACATCGAGGACTTACAGTTACAACTTAATTACACCTTGATGGATTAACAGAGTCCATTGGTTTTCGGTTTGCAAGCCAGGGGAAAAATGTTCTATATTCGTGCGAAACGGTTTGGCCGGAAGTATTCGGTATTCAAAGAGTTAAAATAGACTGGTTTTAGTTGAAAACATTCGTGTAGTCCTGACCTATGAATTCATCGTGCTTTCGTCGATAACCATGCGCACAGCGGCGAATTTAACCGGAGAGAACGGTATTGGTGTCCGAAATCTCGCGACTATAAAGAAAAACTCAAGAATCGGAGTCTCCATGAATCGGAAACGATCAACAGAAGCAATTACCCCTGGTCTTCCGTGACGGGAAGCGAAAAAGTCGAGCGCTGAGATTCGTTTCCGGATTTACAACGTTCCGGGAATTCGTTCGATGTTTCCACGTGTCACGCCCAGTGTTCGCGAGACCCAGACACTCAGACCGGTAATGAAGCACCGGAAGTTGAAAAACACGGTCTGGATTTCTAAGCTTATTTTTCACAATCATATTTTCGTAGTGATATTGGAGTGTATAATATTGATAAAAGTTAACTTATTGTTTGCTGTTTGATAAATTACTGCTGCGTGTTGAAGAATGGTAGAAAATATTGATAAGATAATGGAGGTTTTCAAGGATTTTCATCTTTTGTCTTTACTCGCTTTAGACTCGAATTTTGTTTAAATCATTTAAACGTTTCCTCCTTTTCGTCGTATTTATTTCCATTCTTTTTCAACTTCTACGGCCGTAGCTCGTTGCAATAACGATTTTCAAAGTCTCGAGTTGCCCCAGAAGCAGAATAGAACCTCGCAAATACCACTTGGTATATTGAAATTAGATTCTACGGTTACATTACGAGAGTTTACTGTTCCGACATTCTGCCTCTCCCTCGCGTTACTTCGCTCGTCCTATTTCTATGGACTTTATCCTGCCAGGAAAGTATTAACTCGAGCCATAGCCTCTTTCGTTCCTCCCAAGGTATATTTCGAGTCGAGTTGATCACATTCGTTTGAACAAGTGTTTGACAATTATTCAACGTCGTTAACCGCTCTATTTCCAAGATACTCCGAACAGTAGCCTTGACGATACCCGCGAGAAAGAAAACATCATTACTTATTACCAAGTCGCTTTCATAAGTCTTTTAAACGAACAAAACATTAATCATCCATGGTACAATAGTTCCTCTCTTCGAATTAATTAATCAATGCTCTGTTCATAGATATAGCTCGATTCATCAAGACTCGTTCCAAAAAAGCACGCGCAACGTACGAAGTTATCAGTAGCATAATAATAGTTACACAAAAATCGATCGTGGTTGCGAAACTAATCACGTCTAAATTCAAAGGCTCCTCCCACTTTTCTCCAACGGACTTTCTCAAAACCTGCGAACATTATTAATCCTCTGAGAACCAGCGGGGAATTATGCTTCGCAACGGTGTCTATTAAACGTGTCCGCGATTATGAAAGATTGAACGAAAATGATTAACATTAAAAGGATTCAGGGGGAAACCGTGTCAGCGAACAATTTGAATAACAGCCTTGCGAATTTCCGATGCTGCGAATGTATTAATCGTTCGTGTCTTATTAAAAGAGAACGGCGTGAAAGGAATCCGATGTTCCCGGGCCTGTGAAATAGGAAGAGCCCTTAATTATTTCAGCCGCGTTCCGGTTTCTTTCGCCGCATCACGCTCCCAACGCTCCCGTTTTCAAAGCAATTTGCGGCACCAGCATGAAATTTACTTTTCCCGGTGTGATCGATAGTGTTCCGTGACCTGTGGCACCGGCATCAGGACGAGGATAGTCGAGTGCAGGGACGCCGACGGTTCCATCTCAACGGACTGCGATCCGGCTGAACGGCCGCACACCGAGCAGGAGTGCAAAACAAACATCGTCTGTCCGATATGTAAGTTTTATAAGTTACATTGCTATTCGGCGGCGTCGAGTGCCATTCCGGTGACATTTGGTTCGCGTTCATACACGGTGTCCCTCGATTAATTGTGCACAGTCGAGAAAAGAATGTTATTACATCATACGAACAAATTCTAATGTTTCCTTTATCAATTTAAAATTTCCTTTTACGTTTTCGAGGATATCGAGTTCGTATAATTTCATTCGGCAATTATAAATTTTGGTAACGATACGATACTTTTCGTATTAAGCTGAACAATGTGCATACACGTTCGTTGCGAAGTAGAAATAGAGTGTAATTAAGAGGTATATTTTTGCTCGAAAGTTTGAAACATATTGTGCATTCAAAACGGATAACGTGTTGCTTGAATGAATACACGTTTCATTGAGAACGTTATGGTTTTAATAATGAAAGGTACATAATTGTAATTAAAAGTAGAAGTTATAATTACATTTGTTTACCGGTGAGGTAGTATAATCTGTTGTTAAAAAGTCTGCACAGTGGAGGATGCTTCAAATTTTTGAGTAACAATACCGGTCACTCGCATGCTGTAAAATTATTTAATTTATCTAATTTAATTTTGTCGAGAACAAAGCTTCATATCGAAATTCTATTTTATATTCATCACTTGGCGTTTCGTCTATGATTCGCTGGACACCGTATATATGTACAAACGAGAACTACGATTCCTCGCGTGCTTAAGTCGCGGTTACGGTGCGAACATTCCCATTGACACTCCTACAACCATTGGCAAATAATTTGCCACGACAGACATCGCTGGGTTTTCTTTTAAGAACTACGCAGCACATTAACATATTTATATCGGCAAGCTATTCGTTGTATTCGTTACTTCTCAGAAATTATTTTAAATGTCTTCAAACATTTGCTCAAATTTAAATTTCCATCTTGAATGTCATTCGAAAGAATCAACACGTTTCTGACTGTGTAAATCGCGAGTGATACTCGTTTGAAGACACCAAATTGATTAGAACAACAACTGGAGAGGTCATTTCTAAAGACTGAACATTGTGAAGTCAAAGATACAATAGTGCCACGCGCGAAAAAAGCGCAAAATCGATTGCAGCGAATAGAAGCGAAGAATCGGCAAATAGTTTTTGTTAGATATTACCCGACTTCGTGCAAACACGCTTTCGCCGTAACCGCGGCTTTAACCGATAATCCCTTAAAAGCGAAACGAGCCGGCCGGACAAGATTGCACGCTATCAAATCTTTCATTCAGACGGCGAAGAGATGACTCAACCCCTGATGCAACCGTATCCACCCCCGCCCGTTTCGGAGAAGCTGATCGACCAGCCAATACCGTCGGAAACCACGTGAGTACTACAAAGGATCGCTAAAACGTACAGAAACCCGCGGATACATGCCGTCCAGGTGTGCCCGGGAACGTGCGTAGAACGTTCGTAGAAGCTTCTCGTCGCTTGCCCTTACGTGCGAAGCAAAAAAAAGAAAAAAAAAGAAAAAATAATACCAAAAAAAACGAAAAAGAAACGAACAAACTTACTGTATGACAGCTAGATAGAAATCTTTCCGTGTTAAAAGCATTCATTTCTTGACGTCAATTGGTCTGTCCTGACAGATATACGATCTACTTTGCCTGTGGCTGGTTGTATCTGAGGTATCCCATTACTGTGTCTCTTTCTTCTATCACTTTAAACTGTTCTTCTTCTATTTCTTCTTCTTCTCTGTCTTTTGTTTCTTCTTAATCTTCTACGGTTTCTGTTTCACTCGCACTCCACCCTCTCGTTGTCTTTTTCTATTTTTCTTCTACGTCTTTCTTCTTCTTCTTCTTCTTCTTCTTCTTCTTCTTCTTCTTCTACTTCTTCTTCTTCTTCTATTTCTACTTCTTTCTTCTTCTCCATCTCCTCTCCCTTTCTTTTTACGTACACCACTTCCGCCAACCCCATCCCCAATGCACCAGCTTTCAGACAACGCGATGCACACCAAACCCTATTCCCCTTCTCAGTGAATCTCTCTCCGTTTTTCTTTGTTACCAAGCTCACCCTAACCTCCGCCACGAAACCCAACCCCCTCTTCCCCCGCGCGCGTCGCTACTTTCATAGATTCCACGCACGCTTTTGTAACTCACCGCAGAGCCGCGAAGTCCGACGACGCTTCTCGTTTTGGAGGGCGAAATCAAGGCTAAGCGAGTTTTAGAAGCATTTGCCCCGGCCACCCACCCCGTCGCCGGTTTCCGGGATGACTTTCCGCCGAAAGCTTCGCCCTCGCTCGCGTCTCCCTCCCCGTTCATTTATCGACCCTCTCCCGCGGCCAGGGACGAATTCTATTTCTTAATTGACCCTTTCAACGCTTTTGACCGCCGAGACCGACGCTTTCAGCGCTTTGTCAGCCACGTATACGCGACACGTCTTCCGCTTTGAAGAAAAATATTAATATTCATGGCCAAACAGGAAATAAAATTCATTCGCTTAACCGATACGGATTCGATAAAGCCATCAGGCAAAAGGACTCCGAACAATCCTCGTTCAGGCGGTTTTCATTTTATTCCAGAAAAACCCGCGATCCCCCTGTGAATATTCTATAGGGGATTGCTCGTTTGACAGTGAAAAAAATGAATAGACTTTTTGTCGGTATCTTTCTTCTTCTGAAAGCTGTCCTATGATTTGTAGGCTTTGCAAGAAGTAGGACGATCAAACTAATCGAGACTGCTGTTCGTTCCAATCTTACGCATCTTCTTTTCGTTTTATTTTCTTTCATTCTCTTATTTAAAAACGAGCCTCCGACGTTCTCTCGCGGAAGAGAAACTTCCGCTTAACCTTTTCTGCCTTCCCGCGTACCGCGCGTCAGCGGGAACTCCGTTAGAAGGCGATTAGTAGTTTCGTTTAATGATAATGTTTATTTCGTTCCTGAGAGAACGGGAATTTTTCGGCGAGCCGGGGGGGAATTGTTTCGCGGCGGGCTCCATTTTCTGCTGACGCGCAACAGTTTTCCAAGTTGAATCTCTCCACGCCGCTAAAATTCAACGTAGCTTAATCTTCCTGAGCTCTCTCCTTCGACCCCCTGTTCCCCGGCCGAGCGGTCCGCCGCTCCTTTTTCTTTCTTTCGCTTAACTTTCTCCTGCCTCTTGCTCCTAATGCATTTGATGAGATTACGAGATTTACCGTGATTTAATTAGCGCATAACGCGAATGCCGTAGAACAAGCATTAGCATAGACTTACGATGATAATGTTACCTAGACTATTATCATACACCGTTTCTTCGCCGATGTTTTCCTACCCACCACGTCCCGCCCCTACGTTTTCTGGCTTGCGTTATTCCATGGTAACCCCCGTAGGCTTAGCATGCATAATGTATAGCGTAGAACTGTCTCCTATGTGCGTGCTGCTCGTCGGTCGGATTTTACACAGGTTCCCGCCTTCAGTATCTTCTTCTTCTTCTTCTTCTTTCTCTTTTTCTACCGTGAAGATCAACGTCCTTCACCCAGACATCTGTCAGTCGACCCGTTTTAATTTAACCTGTTAACCGGGCGGAATTCACTTGTTAAGCGTGTCCGCTAACGTCCTCGACTTCCCTTTTTAATTTATCGGAGAATCAACGGATTTCAGTAATACACCGTAGATGCGGATTCTCATTTCCGTGGATTTATTCAATGAAAAACAGAAAAGAATGTTTATATCGCAGACAAAAGAATTCTTTACGATGAATACCAAGTGGAAAAGTCATTGCTTCTTAATGTAATACGAAAGATATCGTTATTTATTCATCCTCGATTAAAACCCCGTTAGTTTACGTAGCGGAAAAATCGTCCGGTTAAGAGGCTAATGGGGCTAACGACCGTCGAGAAATTTGTTGACGAGCCGCGGTGTACTACATTTGGAAGCGCTTGTATTTAAAAACGGCGCAAAAAAAAGGAGTCCTCCTCCGGGCAAAAGCGAGGTTGAAAAGATTGTTGGCGACAAGGATCATTGATCCGTGGACGAAAGTGGGCACTCGAGGGTAAATTTGAACGGCGCGGTCGGATCGCGTCAAATGGATGAAGAGGACCGAGTGCCCGGGGCTGAAAAGGCGATTCCGGAATAACCAGCGGTTGTTTATTCGGTTTAATCGATGACGCGAAACGTGCACGCGTCGCTTTAGGAGCCGTACGAATAGATGGAAGCCAATAAATTCCTTGTACCACGCGCACGTCGGGACGTCTGTCCAGACGACTGAAAAAAAAAACGAGGCGAATGCGTCCGCGCGGAATCAGCTCCTTTCATGTTGTCCGATTTATCATGTTTCCCCGCGGTGCGTGGAGAACAGAATAAATGACCGTCGAGTACTGACTCTCCGCGTTATCGAAAGTATCGATTGACAAAATTATTTCTCTATCCCCATTCTAGCTGTTAGGGTCGCTTCTTCCGCCTAAGAGTATCATTTCAAATATTGACTGTACGCGGAAAGGTATTGGTCGTTCGATGCCGGGCTCCTTTTACATCGAACGAAGGAACCGGAAGGTGGAGCGGGCAGCCGAAAGATCTAACAGAAATAATCTTGGAATAGCAACCCTGCTTGAACTGTTCCGCCATCTAATTTTTATCTATTCTCGTTATTTGTACTCCGACATTCATTCAGGGATTCTTGTAGATTATCTTAGAAAATTCCGGGACCCGTTAATTCAAAACCGTGCCAACTTTGAAATCTGAAAGCACGATTTACTTTCGAACTCCTTATCGAAATCTACCGATTCGGTAGCAGCGTAAAAAAGCTGAAGGATCCAAACGCTAAATGTAGAAACTCAAGGAACCCGTTCGCACCTTTCGAAGTGACCCAAACCGATCGTCTATCTGTCCGAAGCCAACGAAGGGAAACAAGAGAAATCGAAAATCGCGACACCTTAGAGAGTTTCCAATATCGAGCGAAAGAAGCCAAGGTGAACCGCGTCGGCAAAGAAACCTCACACGGTCTCCGGAATTCGGGGGCCCGATTCGAAACGCGAATCATCAAACGAACCGACCCTCCAGGTTCATCGCCGACGACTGGTCGCCGTGCAGCGTCACCTGCGGCGAGGGGATCAGGCATCGCGAGGTCCGTTGCAAGATATTCCTCGAGTTCAGCCGGACCGTTGCCGATCTTCCGGATCGCCAGTGCTCTGGCCCGAAGCCGGTCGAGACGGAGAAATGCGTGATGGAGCCGTGCGGAATGATCGAGAACAGCCTGTCCTACGGAATCGACGCGGTTGGCGACAGCGGATACGCTGAGCCCAGCTTGACGGACACCTACAGATCGTCGGCTGGCAGTTCCAGCGGAAGCGGCTACGATTCTGGGATCAAGGTGGCGCCCGGAAGCGACGTACAGACTACTTACTCGTGGAAGGAAGCTGGCTACACACCTTGCAGTGCTACTTGCTTGGGAGGTGAGGAATGGGATCGAACGTTATTTGAACGTCGAGGGTTAATTATAGCTTACACATTTAGAAATTCGTAGTTTATAATGTATAAACTCTTGATTTTAATGACATTGGACGACTTATGTGTGATTCTTTATGTTATTGAGTCAAGTCATGAAACATTGAATGTTCATTGTCTACTAAAAACAGCAGAAACGATACGAATGTATGACTGTGTTTCGAGGGTAATAGGTATTTAGAGTTGGCCCGCCACGTCCATGCCGAGCTTTTCAAGCTTCAGTACACAACGGCAAGAGGACTCGGCCTCACGCTTCCCCCTGATCCTTCCAAGAAACGTAATAGTCGAGCCTCCGCGTCCCCAGAATTCGGTAAACACACAAAAACCGCAGCCGCGCAGAAATGAAATCCAAAGCCAGCGTTGGTTAGATCTCACTCCCTCGCATTCTTTACCGTCTGCTTTCTTCCTTGCGCGGATCGGCCAGTAACAACAACTGTTGTTCTGTAGCTATTGCCGCGAGTATCCTAAGTAAAAGAGTTCCCTTGGCCCTGTGCACTTTCAGCTTGGCAGAGCTCGGCATGGGCGTGGCGGGCCAACTCTATTTCGGACGGGTAACAGATTAAGATTAAAGACTAAAATACTTTCCACTAATGTACGCATACTTAATGGAGGAATTAATTGGAGAGAACGTTAAGTATTCGGAGCACTTACGGAAATAGGCGACATTTGATCGGCTTCATAGGTGCTCCTCGTAATTCTTATTCTTTACGATAACCGATCTCGGCGTTCGTGACTTTCAATACGATTATCTATTTCCGGTAGTAATCATTAAAGTTCTATAAACTGCACTCAGTTCGGCGATAATCAGCTGGGAACATAAGTCAGGGCATTACCGGGAATCAGATCCGCGAGGATTAACGGAACGAATCTGGGGTTCGTTTCGCGGAGAGCGTTTAATTATCCGAGATAATTCGATGCTATTGTGCAATTACCAGCGCTTACCGGCGATCAGGTTGCGCCGAATCGATATGTTAAACGTCTGCGCCGACTTATTCATCACAGGGATGAATAAATCCAATGCCGATCTGATTGCGAATCTACGTTACAGTGGTCCTTCTGATGTTCCAGGTGTGCAAGATCTGATAATAAATTGCGTGCGCGACGACACAGGTAAAACCGTGATGCCTTTGCTGTGCACGACGGAGACCAAACCGGAAGCGAGGATAAGAGTCTGCAACGATCATCCATGTCCACCGAGGTAAAGCGTAAAACTACAATCGACTCGATCGTTTACAACAGACGCAGTTAATCCGCTGCTTTGATCAATAAGCCAGATCAGCTTGTATAAAATACAATCGTATTCTATCGTAAGATTCTATTTCGACGTTTCTGAATAGCTTCCAACTTCGATTTATTAAAGTGATTATGATCGCTGTTACTCTAAAATTTACGATGGGTGGAATAGAATCCGTTCGACATAATTGTTCACGGAAATTACAGTCTCGTCCTCGGTCACAGTTCTATCTATTGCCGTTAATCGTTGTAGAAACTGACGCGTTTCGGGCGGTGTTACACGCAGGAATTTGATCGTTGCAATTAATTGTCGCCCGCAGATGGAATTTAAGCGAATTCTCGCCGTGCATGAGTCCGTGCGGCATCGGTATACAGATACGGAACGTCACCTGCATACACGAAGTGACGCGCGGATCCACAGGTAAGACAGTCCCCGTGCCGAACAAGATGTGCCCGCAACCACCGCCAGCCGACAGACGATACTGCAACGTGTGGGATTGCCCCGTTAAATGGACCGTCGACAAATGGGGCAAGGTAATTTCTTTCTATTTCTTTCGATAACTATATTATTCATGTCGTGCGATCGTCTTCGGTTTCATCGCAATTTAAAAAGATACAGGGTAAAATATTGAAAGTGGATATAATTAAGAATAGTGAAAAGACATCGGAAAGATAGCGAAATACCCTAAGGAAAATTAAAGCGTACCTTTTTGAGCTGTTACTCGTGCACAAGAGTCTCGCGTCAGCGAAATCATTTTTCCGGAAACCATAATATCACGACTGGATAATCTATGAATAAGAATCATTATGTGATCAAATGCACACTGCATGCTTCGCTTGCATAAAACTATTTCACTTACCTACGCCTGTATTACGTCTTTAGCTGTTCGCGTCATTCGCCACCTAGTTTGTTGTACTTTAAAGAGAGTTCGTATTCGCGAGAGTTCTATTTGAACTAGTCTGTAAACTATGCAAACTATTGGTTAAAAGGATAGAGTATTGTTCTTCTACAGTATTCATTCATGAAGGTTCATTGTTTTCTTGCGACGTTTAAAATTTAACCGTTTGCACTTGGGAGGTGACTCTCAGTCACCACTAGATTTGACACATGAAAACTATAAAATCTGATATTTAATATTGAACTTTGTTTAATGCCTTGATTCGTGAAATATTGGAATAAAATAGCTTTGTTCCTTGATGTACTTGTGACTTCCCTTCAAGTCAGTTTCAAAGAATATCGTCTTCGCCTCGTCAAAAAATGTTAAATATTTCTAATAAGAAACTTCCGAGTGCAAAGGGTTAAGTAGTAATTGAAGAAAGCAAAAAGATGTTAGTGGTAAGGAAAAGTGTCGTTTTTCAGTGCTCGAAGACTTGCGGCGGAGGCGTGATGAGACGCAAAGTGACCTGCGACCAGATAATGGCTCAAGGGCGTCAGCAAAGTCGAGAGGAACGCGAGTGCCCGGCGCAGAAGCCCTCCACGGAGAAGCCGTGCAACACCAGAGCTTGCCACGACATAGACGCTGGTTCCTTGCCGATCATTTCCAGCCTGAACACGACATACAATCAGACCGAACTGAACGCGAAAGTGGATCTGAAGATCGGCGGTATCGCGAAGGTGTTTCAAGGCACACCTTTCATCAAGATCCGTTGTCCCGTTAGGAAATTCGACAAGTCAGTTTCTCTACTTATCTTTCTAGAATCAGTATTATTTCCGTTGCTCTTTTTCATCAAAATGGAAATATTTGCAGGACACGAATCATATGGACCAAGGACAACAAGGAATTAAGGAAATCGAGGAAGTACAAAATCAGTAGGAAAGGAGCGTTGAAGATAAACGACATCACAGCTTCCGATTCCGGAGTATACGCGTGCATAGGTATTTCTGATCGACAGTGTCTTTTATCGAAGAGAAAAGAGAAAGCGGAGTAAGAAACTGACTTTCGTTTCAGCTGGAAATTCGCACGCGGAGACGCAGCTCATCATAAAATTTCGTTCGAAGGAGCAGATAAGCAGCGAGGAATATCTACGACTGAGTAATTCCGTCCATCTTCAACGAAACGCGAACTTGGACTCGGCGCCGGCGAATTCGGGGGAGAGTATGTATACCGGTCATGCAGGTAAATAACTTCAGCGTTAAGAACACAGATCTCGTCCTGATAGGATAGATGAATCGTTTGGATCTTATTTCATTTACCAACGAGCATCGCGCGATCAGAAGTGAATGTCGTGAAACCGATGCCGCCGCGAATTACGGGAACAGTAAATTTAGATTGGCCGTTAAGATTTTTCGTTGATTTCCAGCAGCCGCCTACGGGAACCGTTTTGTCCCAATCGACAGCGAGGATCTCAGTCACGAACGAGCGTTTCCCAGCAAACCGACAAGGAAACCGAATCAGAGGAGACAGAAAACCAGTCCCACGCCACCAGACTCTACGGACTTGCACCGGGAACAGACCGTAACTTCGCAGAATCAGGTAAGAACGCGTGACGAAGGATCGAACTAACCCCTTGCGCGATTTAATCCGCTCGTCTCTTATTACGAGAACTTCGATAGGGGGATTGAACTAATCTTTTTTCTCGACGATTCTTTATTTGTTCTGCTACCTATATTTCTGGACTTACTTTATACGACGTCGGGTATTTAATATGCCAGCCTGGATACCACGAATCCGTGGAATCGACTGCGTCGTCAAGTGCCTCTACGCTCGTACCGCACTTAACTTATTTTATATCGAGCCTGAAGGTGAGAGCTTCTGGATTATTGTACAGACCGAAATAACCACTGAAGGATCATCTGCTTACAATATTAATTCCCGATCATTCCCGAATCCTCTCTTCTCTACATCGATATTTATATATTTCTCATTTAGAAGAATGTAACGACACCTTCTGCAACATTAATTACAAAAGAAGATGTAATGATTTTAAAAATAAATAGAGCTATTCTTTAATTATTCATTTTCCAACAGGAATATTGGCCGTTCCAAAGTGAGTCGGTCGGCAGATCCCACAGAACGGCCCCGGTGGCATTCATCGACGACACGCGAAGGGAAACCGTGGCAACGAAACGCACCATGTCGGAGAAGTCTGGAGGTGTAAAGTATCGGAACGTAGAGGAGAACCTGGACACGCTGTACCGTAATACCGCCATTCCGGACGAGACGTTTGGACCTGACGAGGAGAGGATATTCATCGACGTTGATCCCTACGATCTCGACGATTCCATGTTCGGGTTACAGCACAGCAACCCGGTGAAGATTACACCTGTTGCGAGCAAAGACGGCCCGCCGACGTCCACCGCATCCGACACCGACTACGTCGAGGAATCTCTCAAGAACGTGAAGAGACAATGGCAAAATCCACCTGAAGACAGAAGGCACTGGAACGCGACGCCTAAGGAGCAGAGTAAAGACGCCACGAGCGTGGCTACCACCTCCGACGATATCGGTTTAGAGATGTATTATATTCCAGACTCGAGCACGAAGCGCAGCGCAGTAGCTTCGCAGAGGAAAAGCGCCGATCGAAGAAACCAGCACGACGGTCTCGAAATCGATCACGTTTACTCCACGATGTCGCTCAAGGAATTGGAGGAGCCCCGGAAGAAACCAGATAGCAGCAAAGGGAAACCAGAGATTCTGAATAGGACGGGGGATGACGCAGAGGAACTCGAAGAGGAGATGAAGAAACGGAAGGTTTACGTGAAGAACGATACGGTCGACGATAGTCTCCCTCGAACAAGTACCAGGGACCCGGAGGAAGATCTGTTGTCTTTGTCCGAAGATAGCCGCTTCAGTGACACGGAAAAGGAAGAGGAGGAAAAAGATGTACCACCGAACACTGAAAATCGTGAAGATTCGTCCGAAGATGCGACCGATCTTCAAGAACGCTCTAAGGAAGAAGAAGAGAAGAAGAACAAGTCGTTGGAAGTTGCTGGATCAAACGCTACCGCGGATGCTTCGATCGCGTCGCTTACTATTTTAGGTAGGAAAATTATTGTTGTAGTTATAATTGAAATTATTCTGACGATCCCGAAAACGTGCAGATACGTCGGATGACTTGGTGTTCGAGTGGGTGACGACGGATTGGTCCAAGTGCTCTCAGACTTGCGGTGGAAGTGGGTTTCAGGTAATTAGTAATGTCTACGCTGTTTCTTCGGTTTAACATTGTAAATGATCTGTTAGAATTAATTTGAGTAATTCGGTTTGTTACATGAAGATGCGCGGAGCACAGTGCACGGTACGATCGGCGAAGCCGATTGGAAATTCGACCCGCACTCCGCCGAGGACGGTGATAGGAGCGAAACTGTGCGAAGACGCGGGGCATCCGATGCCCCAGAAAGTGAGAGCGTGCGGATTCGGTAAGTGTCCTCTGTGGCACACAACCGAATGGACACCCTGCGAGACGTCCAGGTGCTTCAACTGGAAAACCGCGATGCAGAGACGCGATGTTACCTGTCATTTGTTCGATGATACTGAAAACGACCAACAAAATATCACTCTACTGGATCCCAACAAGTGCGACGAAACCACTAGACCTTTACAGAGGCAGGAGTGCTACAACGACGCTTGCAAAGGTGTCTGGAGGGTTGGCGAATGGTCCGAAGTATGTTCTTCAAGATTTTCGATTATAAATTTATGTGATGAAATTCTACAAGACATTTCAGGATGAAAGCAGTAGTATTTTAAAATACCTAGATATATTTCTGTCTGCTATTCGGAAACAAAGAGTAAAATAGGATTCAAAATCCAAAATATTTCCGCTAATTATTGTTTATTAATATGTTTAGTACATATTTTTACATAACCCTAAAATATAACGAACCCCATAGTGCACAGCGTCATGCGAAGAAGATGGCATCAAATACAGAATCCTACAGTGTGTTTGGTTTGGGACGAAAAAACCAGCTGGCAACGCGTGCAGAGACATTCCACGACCGCCTGTCATGAAAACGTGTAGAGGTCCGATGTGCCCTCAGACACCTGGTGAGATAATTTCTATTCTTCGACGATTACAAAATACAACTAGATCTAAAAGAGTGCATTATTAAACTGTGCATCAAAAATTTCATTTAAAACGATTCTAAAAATGTTCCAGACGACTGCAAAGACCGCTCGCAGCTGTGTAGCACGGTGAAAACGATGAACATGTGCAGGGTGCCGCTTTACCAGAAGCAGTGCTGTCAGTCATGTCGCTAGGAAATTGTTGTTGTAACGAAAGAAAAACATTAGGTCGAAATTGATACGGCGAGAGAGAAGCGCGCGTGAGATGCATAGTTGAGAGAGCAAGGTCCGAGGATTACAGTCGCGACGCTCGTCGATACTCTACACTCTACGTGTTTGTCGAAAGGATGCGAGAATCGAGGGTGATAGAGAGAAAGAACGAGGGGGGATAAATCAGCCTCGTATCGAGCGTTCCAATCTGCGAACACGTTCGTCGGTGCGCCGCCACGATATGTAAGAGTTATTCAAGAGTTCGACCAAAATTACTTCCGCTGGTAATTGTCCCCCTCCCTCCTCCTCCGCCACCGCCATCCCCGAGAGAAACTTACCCTTCTCGCTTCCCTCGCATTTCGCAACCTCGAAACGAATGTATTCGAACGCCGGATTCTTACCAGCCCAATAAGAATCCGATTCCTAATTGTGTGCTAATTAAAGCTATAATTTTTGAACGTGTGTAACGCGTTAGTTTGGCACCGATCCTAATTGCGCACGCTCACGCTCCCTTCCGCGGTGGGGAAGGGACGAGGGAAGAGCCTGGCATTCGTCCAAAAAAGAGAGAATACAAAGTTGAGAAAATTATTATTGTTGAAGTTCGGATAAGAACGGGAATAGACGGAGAACGTAATTGTACGGTGGAAAAGGGTCGCGGGCGCACGTGGTAGATCGCGACGCGTTCCCGTGGTTCGATAGACGAGCTTCGAGGGCCATTCAACGTTCAGACGAGACTGTTAACGGGGCGCC